TCACAAGGCTGAGTTTCAAAATGTCTTTGCTTCCCGCAAAGAACGTTTGCTTCACATCTGGCTTTTAACTTCTTGAACTAGGGGCCATTACCTTGCAGCCTTACTCCCGGGTCACCCATGCTGTTGTAGCTGCTCTTTACTGTGAGCAATCCTGCGCACATGTGCACTTGGTATAGGCTCCTCAGGAACCTCCTCATTGCTGCTGCCAGCCCCCACAATCTCTGAAGGCAGCAGTCTGCTCCCCAATGGTCCTGGCCTCTTATCTGAGTCCTCACTCTCCTCAGCCATCTGCACCTGCTGCCGGCTAAGCACAACACTAGATGAGAAGCAAAATGTCTTCGAAGAAAAACTAGAAAACTCAGTTGCCACTCAAAAAAGCACCTTTGGGGCTTCCACCAAGTTGCCAATTTAATTCCCCTTTCCCTGGACATCCCTAGAAGTACTTAAAAGCCAGGAGCTGGAATTCTAGTACATTGATCTTCCTGAAATTTCTTCTTGGATTATTATCAACGCCCGAAAGGTGCTTTTTCAAGAGGCAACTGGACTTTCTGGTTTTTCTTTGGAGACGCTTTGCTTCTCATCCAAGAAGCTTCTTCGGAGTTGAAGAAGCTTCTTGGATGAGAAGCAAAACATCTCCAAAGAAAAACGAGAAAGTCCAGCTGCCTCTTGAAAAAAACACCTTTGGGACAACCATGACCTGAATGACTGAGAATCTCCATAGATTATCAACATTTTTACTACACCCATAAATTACATAGTGAGGAAGACAACAGGTTGAGCATGATGTATGTGCACTCTGAAGGAGCAGGATGGAAAAAAATTGTCCACCTGGACTGATACTAGCATTAAACTTACTTAGGCAGCTGCCAGGATCAAAGCAATGAACATAGGAACTAAGATGTTGTAGTTTTGGAATACTTTGGTTCTAATTAAGCAACCGTAGGAAGTCATTCCGTGAACAATTCCCCTTCTCTCCTTAAAAGCAAAGCTCCAGTTTTACTTCATATCTTCTCAGGCTTCTTCTTATAGTCCCAACAACCTTTTCCCTGATATGGAAGGATGCCCCAAAACAATGCTAAAAACACTGATATAAAAGCCAAGTAGACTGACCCAAGACTGACCCATGTTCCAGTCCACTGATCACCACAAACATTCACTGGGTGATTTTTGGACCAACTCCTCTTTTACCCCAAGAACTTGGATGAGGTAGTGGTGAAGGTGCTGGATTGTTTGGGGAGACCCAGGTTGTAATCCTCTCTCAATCACAGCAGCTCAAGTGTTGTCACCTGTCAGCCGCCAGCCCCTCCAGCAACCAAATCAGAGGAGGAGGTGTGGGAGGCAGCGTCAAGGCAACCTGAGAGCAACCTGAGAGCAAGGGGGAAGAGGGAATGGAGTTCTCAGATTGTGTCAATAGCCCCCAGTTCTGGAGGTGGCTGATGAGGAAGAGGAACAGCTGGGTCCGGTTCCTGACTTGCGGATGCGCAGAAGGCAGAGGAGAGCAGTGGAAATCTATGGGCCGGTCCTTGGGATGGAAGAGCCACCGTTGTTAGCAAGACCCACCCTAGCTCTGGGGATGAAAGGCAGAGATGAATAGTGTTTTTCCAAAAATAAGACCGGATCTTATATTAATTTTTGCTCCAAAAGACGCATTAGGGCTTATTTTCCGGTTAGGTCTTAATTTAGGGGAAATACAGGTCTAAATGCATCCATCTGGCTGACAATCTTAACTGGGGCTTATTTTCAGGGTAGGGTTTTTATTACGAGCATCCTGAAAAATCATGCTAGGGCTTATTTTTAGGGAAACAGGGTATGGCAGACAACTATTCATCTCCCTGCCAGACAGACTTGTTAGTCTGTTGTGTGTGAGTGTGTGTGTGTGTGTGAGAGAGAGAGAGATTTTTTTGCCAGGGCTGCTGGTGCTGCTAATAAA